GGCAGGACCTGCAGGCGCGGCAGTGTTGGCGTGCCCTGCGGCTGCTCTGGAGGTGAGCTGAGCCAGCTGGGCGCTCAGATGCGCGCTTGAGCACCCTCCTTGTGGTTTGGGTGCTGAGATGTGCGCTCAAACACCCATTCCTGCAGGCCTTGGGTTATTTCTTCTAGTTTAACTGGGGATGATGTCAGCGGGGCAGATGCCAACCACAGCGCTGTTTGTTCCGCTTGGGGATTTTCAAAGGGACGCATAACCCTGAAGTGCTCTCAAATCCATGTGCTCTTACTGGTATTGGCTTCTGATTCCTGTAGATGCGCCTGGGTTTGTGGCCTGCAGTGCATCTTTGGTTTTGGTAAGCAAAAACTGCTAGCAGGGCGGGTGCCGCGCTTGGGTGAGCCTCAGCCCCTGCAGCAGCAAGCGGCGACCGGTGCTTGCTCCGTGCTTGCTGCTTTCCAGGGCTGCTCGTCGACCTCTGGGGGGATGTTTTAAAATTCGCTGATCAGCTTTTGCTCCGGCTGCTTTGAAGCCGAGGTGGAGAAACGTCCCGTGCGTCTGCGTGCCGGCACCCCGTCCCTTCCCGCTCCCGGCCCTCAGCCCCCGGCGGCTCTTCCCGGCTTTCCTCTCCCGGGGCTCGTTTGACCCCTCTCCGGTTTGCTGCTGCCTCCTCAGGATGCGAGCATCTCTGTCCTGCTCAGGGAGATGCCTGGGAGTCAGCGGGAGTTTTGAAACGCGCGTTACCGAGTTGCCACCCAGAGAATCACGCCTGCCGTCGGCGGGGACCGCGCTTCTGGGCGTCGTTCGGCTGAGCCCAGGTCGGGACGGCAGCGGTCACCCTCAGGCAAGCTCTGCTTATTTTTGTGTTGCGTGCCGCGTGTGAATTAACTGGAGGCTATCAATTAAGTGATTACGTTTTGCTGATTTGCAAAGATGCGAGCTAGATCTCTTAGGATATTTCTTGCTGACCACAGCTTCTGCTGCTGTTCCACCACAACAGCATCTGCAGTTCCTCAGCCTTTTGTTGAGCACCAACAATTTAAGCTGTAATTTTCCAGGCCACACCTATGTCTTTTGGTCTTTTGGGGAAGTTGCAGTTGATAGCAATCGTTTCTGGGAATGGTTTAAAGAAAAATGCATTTTTTGACGATACCGAGCTTCTTGTAGAAAGCGGGTTTGCTGTTTGTTTGTAACCCCTCGCTGCTTTAAGAAACGGACTCGAGCCATTGCTTCATCACTGCGGGGGGTGCACAGCGCTCTGGCGCCGGGGGCCCTGGCTGCTCCGGTACCGCGCTGCGCCAGCGCACGGGGCTGCTCTCCGCAGGGGTGGTGCTTTGCCTGTTTCAGAGCAGCAGGTGAAGGAGGACGTGGAGGCTGCAGGCGGTTGGTGCTCGCCGTTGGTGCTCGCTCGGCCGTGGTGTCCGCCCGGCGGGTGCAGCAGCGTTTGCTGCACGGCCCCGTGCTGCGGTGAGAGCCGTCAGGAAGGAAGTCTGCAAGCGTGTGTTTGTCTGTGTGTCTGTCTGTGTGTGCAAGGGCAAGAGCTGGAGCCGTTTCCGGAGCGGGGTGCCTTGGGACGGGGCTGTTAAACCGCCGCCGCTCCATGCACCAGATCGTTCGTGGCGCTGCAGAAGCGCATGCAGGGATGCAGCTGCTGCTGCTCCGCGGACCGGCAGCCGTGTCGGGACCTGAAATCCCCTGGTGGATGGAGGCCGGGCCAGGGTCGAGCAAAAAGTCTTGCCGGGAAGGAGGGCGATGCGTGCACGGTGGATAAGCTCTTGCAAAGTTCATGCTGGGTGGAGTTTCCCTTTGGTTTCTAATTAGTGCTGAAGTGGAGGGGCCGTGTGATATTTGATGGCAGCTGGGCAGGAGAGGAGGAGACTCTTGGGTGGCTGGAATATCAGTTAGTGCCTGTACTTGAAATGTTCTCAAAAACATCCTCGGAGGCTGGGATGCGGTTGTGCACCAAGGAGGAGCTGACCGTGGGAAGGGGCAGCTGCAGCGGCCCCACGACGAGCCCACGGCCCCCTGCACGTGCTGTGA